ACCCCATTGTCTGCAAGAAGTGCCTCACCAAGGTGCTGATGGACGGAGGCAGCAGCCTCAACATTCTCTACGTCGACACCCTCGGCGCCATGTGTATCCCCCGGTTGGAGCTCCGTCCAGTGAGCTCTCCCTTCCATGGCGTGATCCCGGGGACGCAGGCATACCCGCTCGGGCAGATCGACCTACCTGTCATGTTTGACGATCAAGCCAACTTTCGCTCGGACGTCCTCACCTTCGAGGTGGTGAACTTCCTAGGGTCCTACCACGCCATCTTGGGGCGGCCATGCTATGCCAAGTTCATGGCGATCCCCAACTACACCTACCTCAAGCTGAAGATGGCAGGACCGAACGGTGTCATCACTGTGGGTAGCACCTTTTCGCACGCCTACACGTGCGACCGCGAGCATTTTGAGCTCACCACTACCGTCGTCAACTCAGCCGAGCTACCTTAGCTCAGAAATTCGTCGACTCCGGTAGTCCTAGACTGCAACAAGCCAACCTCCTCGACTGCCTTCTAACCAATCGAGGAAACTAAGGTGGTGAAAATCGACCCCACCAACCCGACCAAGATGGTGTGGATCGGGGCCAAGCTCCCAGCCAAATAGGAATGCGAGCTCACTGACTTTCTATTCGCCACTCGCGATGTCTTTGCATGGAAACCTTCTGACATGCCGAGCATACCACGGGAGGTCGCTGAGCACGCATTACGCCTCGTCCCGGGCTCAAAGACAGCCAAGCAACGACTGCATCGCTTTGATGATGAGAGGCGTAGGGCCATAGACGAGGAGATCGCAAAACTCCTGGTGGCTAGATTCATCAAGGAGGTATACCACTCCGACTGGCTTGCCAATCCTATTCTTGTTAAAAAGAAGATCGGGAAATGAAGAATGTGCATTGATTATACTGGCCTCAACAAGGCATGTCCAAAGGACCATTTTCCTTTGCCATGCATAGACCAGGTAGTGGACTCCACCTCAGGATACGAAATCCTCTCCTTTTTGGATGCCTACTCAGGCTACCACCAGATCACGATGAAAGAGTCCAACCAGCTCGCAACTTCATTCATCACCCTGTATGGTTCGTACTGCTACGTAACCATGCCTTTTGGTCTAAAGGACGCTGGCGCCACCTATCAACGGTGCATGCAGCAATGCTTTGCCGACCAAAGCGACCCGCTCGACCAGCCTGACCAAGTCGAGCGGCCAAAACCAACGATCGCCGTCTATGTAGATGACATAGTGGTCAAAACGGCTCAAGCTTGCGACCTAATCGCGAACTTGGCCGCAACGTTCACGAACCACCAAAGGTTCAGCATCAAATTGAATCCCAAAAAATGTGTTTTTGGGGTTTCAAAGGGGAAGCTGCTTGGATACATCATGTCTAAACACGGTATTGAGGCCACCCCAAAAAAATCACAGCCATCTCCAACATGGGCCCTATACGCAACGTCAACGGCGTACAAAGGCTTACTAGTTGTTTGGCCGCCCTGAGCCGGTTCATCTCCCGGCTAGGCGAGCGGGGGATGCATCTCTACAAACTTCTCAAAAAGACAGACGTGTTCGCTTGGACTGAGGAGGCACAGCAGGCTCTAGAAAGCCTCAAAACATCACTGACGTCGGCCCTAATCCTCGTCTCTCCCTAACGGGGAGAACCCGTCCTCCTCTATATAGCGGCAAGCAACCATGTCATGAGCGCCGCCCTAGTCGTCGAAAGGGAGGAGCCAGGACACCACCTGAAGGTCCAACGACCCATATACTTCATCGGGGAGGTGCTCACCAGCGCCAAGGTTCGGTACCCCCAGGTGTAGAAACTTCTATACGCTGTGCTGATGGCGACCCAGAAGCTCCTGCACTACTTCACCGACCACGAAGTCATGGTCGTCACTTCATTCCCACTAGGAGACATCATCCGCAACCGTGATGTCGCGGGATGGATCTCCAAGTGGGCACTCGAGCTAATGGGCCACGACATCATGTATATCCCTCGCACCGCTATTAAGTCTTAGGCTCTCGTGGACTTTGTCACCGAATGGACGGAGGTCTAGCTCCCGACCTCAGACGTCACCCAAGAGTACTGGACAATGTACTTTGACGGGTCAGTGATGGCACCCGGCTCGGGGGGCTAGAGTGATTCTGATCTCCCCGGATGGGAGCAGGCTCCGCTACGTGATTCATCTCCACTTTCCGGTCTCAAATAACGCCGCGGAATACAAGGCACTCATCAACAGACTACGTATCGCCATCGAGCTCGGCGCTACACGGCTATACGTCCACGGCAACTCGGAATTGATCATCGACCAAGTCATGAAGGAGTCCTCTTGCAAAAGCCCCCTCAAGGTAGCATACTGCCAGGAGGTGCGCAAGCTCGAGGACAAATTCTAGGGGATCGAACTACATCATGTCCCCTGAAAGGACAACAATGCCGCCGATTTTCTCGCAAAATTGGCTGTCAGGCGGGTTTCATCTCCAGATAGGGTCTTCATCAACAACCTTCACGAGCTGCCTGCCCATATCCTGGAAGGTCCAATCCAGACATGCTCCGACACCAACCTGGCACTCGGGGGCTCTGACCTCAGTGCCCCCATCACGACGTCGCCCGCCGACGTCGCCATGGTAGCACTCGATCAAGCTGACTAGAGAGCACCGCTACTCACCTACCTCCTCAAGGAGATTCTCCCACCAGAAAGGACTGAAGTGCGATGAATCGCTCAACGCGCCAAGACGTTCGTCGCATTTGGTAACGAACTTTACAAGCGAAGTCCATTGGGAGTACTCATGAAGTGCATCCCTACCGACCAAGGGAAACAACTCCTCCTCGAGGTCCATGCCTGAATCTGTGGACATCACATGGCCCTAAGGTCACTGGTCGGAAAAGCCTTTCACCAAGGTTTTTACTTGCCCATTGCGCTGTGAGATGCAGAGGAGGTCGTCAGTAGGTGTGAGGCATGCCAGTTCTATGCTCGGCAAACTCATTTGCCAGCGTAGGAGCTTCAAACCATCCCCATCACTTGGCCATTCATGGTCTGGGGCCTCGACATGGTCGGACCCCTCAAAAAGGGCCCGGGTGGCTTCACCCACCTACTCGTAGCGGTGGACAAATTCACCAAGTGGATAGAGGCGAAGCCCATCACCAACATTCGCTCGGAAGAGACAATCAAATTATTCCTGGACCAACATTCGCTCGGAAGAGTCAATCACTGACCACGGAACTAACTTCACCGGGAAGAAGTTCCTAGATTTCTGTGATGGATATGGCATCAGGATCGACTGGGCCTCGGTCGGACATCCACTACTAACGGTCAGGTCAAACGGGCCAGTGGCATGGTCCTCCAAGGACTTAAGCCACGCATCTTCGACCGACTCAATAAGTATGCCAGGTGATGGGTTGCAGAGGTCCCAGCGATCCTCTGGAGCCTGAGAATGACCCCAAACCGATCGACAGGATTCACACCTTTCTTCCTAGCCTACAGAGCTAAAGCAGTGCTGCCCTCCGTCCTCGACCACGGTGCCCCAAGAGTGAAGACCTTCGACCAAGACCGAGCCACGGAGGCTCAGTAGGACGCAGTAAACCTGCTCGTGGAGGCTCATGAGACGACCGTCATCTGCTCCGCTCACTACCAACAAACTCTCCGTAGGTACCATGAAAAAAAAATCAGAGGGAGGATCCTTGAGGTCGGTGATCTCATGCTCCGAAGAACCCAATCAACCAAGGAGAAACATAAACTCTCTTTACCATGGGAAGGACGCTATACGGTGACCGAGGTGATCTGATCGGGCACCTACCAACTGAAGGACGACAACGGCAACGTTCTCACCAACACATGGAACATCGAACAATTACGTCGTTTCTTCCCCTAAAAAGCTCGGTCTTATCATTTTCTTTGATTCAACATTTGCTCCTACAAGCACCCCAGCCCGAGCACTCTTGGCCTGGGTTGCTTGGGGGCTCCACGAGGGTGCGATACCATCTCTCTTTTTTACTATCATATAGTAAATACTTTTCACCCAAACGAAAGGGAAGTCCGTTCCTTTAATTACCCTACGTAACTTATGTTTTAAACTCCCGACCGATCACACCCCACCACGACCTATGGTTATGAGCAGCTGAGCATCGCGGGCTATGCCCAGGTTCTTAAGGTTGCAGCCTACGGGTCAAACGGGCAGGCTTTTATGAGGCGGGAGGGGGCGGCGTAGGCGCCCTCACCTCTGTTCGACATAAGGCAGAGAGAGGGAGACAGGCTCGCGGCGCGACATTAAGTTAGCCCTGCCGCGCCGTGGGCAATGGCGCGGCACTGCCACGCCAAGATGTGTGGTGCGGCAGCGCTTGCCACGTCAGCCGGTCAGGGCCCTTGCCCCTGCCACGTCATTGCCTTTGCCGCGCCGCCATGCATGGCGCGGCAGCGTTGTTTGGCTACGCCGTGGCAATATGCGTGGCCAAAAGTGTTAGATTTAAAAAAAAAAACAGTGTCAAATTTGCAAATAGTTAAAAAAAAGTGTTAAAAAAAAGTGCCACGCCGACACTGCTAACATGTGCGCAAAACTCTTGCAGATAATGCAGGCCAGATGCAGCCAGGAGCACTCGAGCACAACGGACGGACATCAAATAAGCCCTAAAAAAGCGAAAAGTTTCACAATGGGGCCAGAGGATCAAATTCGCAGGACACGGTAACAAAATATAGCCACTATGTACATACATGCATTATGTAAGGCCATCGTCCAAGATACAACATCAGCAGCTACAAGGTTAGCAAGTTACAGATAAGTGGCAGTTTTCTCCCATCCCAACAGTATCAGTATGTACACGAGTTGAGGAAACGGTTTCATCTGATAGTTCTCGTCTGAATTACGATTCAGCAGGAGTGCAGAACACACCCATCAGTCCATCATCCACCGCCAGTCCGCCACCACCCCGCCACCACCAGACCCCCAGCAGCTTCCACCATCCTGTGCTGGGACACGACCTTTTTGGCACCGCCACTAGCTGCCCCTCAGCCTCCTACACTAACGCCACCGCCCACCAGCAACATCAGCAGGATTCGCAGCTGATCCCCAGCAGCCTCCACCGCCACCAGTGCTATGGTTGCTGTCACCGCCAGCTCCACCCCATCCAACAGCATTCCTGCCTCCAGATCCTCCGTCGGTACCAACACCACCCCAGGAGGAGCCACTATTACTGGTCCATCCTCCACTGTTACCATCACCACCATTATCGTCATTGCCAAAGTTACCTTGACCACGCCCACGTCCTTGTCCGTGACCATCAGAGCTGTTCCTTGAATCAAACCTCCTTCCTATTTCAGAGAAAACGGGAATATAAATAATGCTCACATATCTCAAAGGATCTTCTAAATTCTCAACAAATGTAATTAGTCAAATCACAAACAAATATTGAGAAAACAGTGCTAAATCTGGCCACCAGCTATATCAAAGTCAGTTTGACTAGATATTAGTAAAAATCCACAGCAATGTGTTGGGAGTCTGGGAAGCTTACTAACAGAAAACTGAAAGAAAAACACAAGAAAGAAATATTTCAGACTCATACAAGAAACAAAACCAGATGAATATTACTTCTATTTCAAATATGGCTTTTAACTCACACAGCATAAAGTGGCACGGGAATCACCACAAGTCCACAAGCATGCTAACACTATCTTCAATGACACTAGCAAATCATGAGAAGAACAATAATGCTCTACTTGGTGAAAGTATTATAATTCTAATCCATGCAAAGCATCTCAAAGATTATCATAGCGAAATATGCATATAAACTTATCAACATCATAAGCTCATTAATAACTGGCCTAATCTTCCAGATAAAGGTCTGTCCCTATAATTACCATCTCCCCTCCAACCATCATTTGCATCACCAGCACTAGCACCACCACCAGAACCCCAAGCTGAGTTTTTCATAGGCACCACTGCAGCAACATTTTGCATTGATGGTTCAGCATCAGATGGTCGTTTGTCAATATTCTTCTGGAAATAGGACACGAGGCGGTCAATGTTGTCAAAGTCTCTCTTCCTGAATCTGAAGCCCTTTGGATATAATCCGACATACTCATGATGCAGATTTGTACCCCTAATATATGACAATATAAAGGTTCCCGGATGCTCATGAGATATGCCAAAACTATATACTATTCTCATGGGATTCTCTGCCTTCTCTGCCCTTAACATCTCATCAACCTCATTTTTTAGCCCCATCCTGAATTTACGGTAACAGAGCATGCTTTTGAGGTGTCCAACCAACGGGTCCACATATCTGTCAATAACCTGTATATTATATGAAAATTAGGGTTGTGAGAGGAAGGCCCAGTTACCTCAAAATGAAAGAATACCAAGTAACTGCAGCAAAATGTTGTCACAAAAAAATGAATGTGGAGAACTGAAGCTGACAGAAAATAAGTGAAGACAGGGGAGTGTATATATCAGGTGCACCAACCTCATCGAGGTCTTCAAAAGTTTCATTGTCAATTGTTAGTGTTTTTCCCAGGCGAAGGGTTTCTTTGTGATCCTTCCCACCTTCAGATATCTCCTTGTGTGCATAAACGCCATCAGCAATTTTTAGGGTAAGAGTAAAAAATGATGGTCCCCTAGAACTTGCCCGGATCACCTTTTCACCAGGCTCTTTATCTGATAAAAACTGTTTAAAGAAAAGAGTTTAGATAAGATGGGCATAGCATAAGTGCATAACAGAAGAGAAGAAGCAGAGTGGAGTTAGTTTAACAAGGCAGCTAACCTGCATGGCTTCTTCTGCTGTCAGGTTCTTAAAGTGGGGATGCACAATCATCCGGGGCTGGAAATGCTTCTTTGGAAGTTCCTTTTGCTTTCGAGCCTTATCTTGTGCAGTCTGTGAGGTCATGTCTTGTTCATGATAGTAAGGATCCTGATCACCACTGGAGAATGGTTTTCCCCTCATTTTACTAGCCTTGCAGGTTAGGTGAGCCATGGACCTATTTTTATTCAAATTACAAATTTTGCCAGTTAATACATCACCTTCACGTAATTGCGATGATTCTGGATCGAAACCCTCATCAGAATAGTCGTCTGCCATAACTATGGCTTTCAAACCAGAATCAAACATGCAAATTATTTTGTTCTCCTGTTATTGCGAACAGTTACTTGAACAATCCTTCCCTCAGATATGGTATCCTCTGTTTCACCAGAAAGCATCCAGAACTCCTCGTCTGGGCTTGGCTCGATATAGGGGGTTCTCCAATCAGAAAAACCGCACAGCAGCTCCGTCTGTATATCACACAGTGTTTCCTTTTTACGGTATTCTTCTGAAATGCTCTTTATATATTCATCAATATCAAGATTTCGAAGAAAATGCGGCCTTTCTCTAATGTGCTCAATCACCAACTCTTGCATGTCATCGTCCATTTCATTCATTTCATGTGGTGCATCCTCAGCATAGATATCCTTAGCCAGTTTTTTTTTGCTAATGCATATGATTCAGGATGGATCCTTGTGTCCTCAAGCATATCAATGATTTGAGGACTGGCACCTGCTGCAGCTGCACCACTCCGTCTTACACGTAAAAACCCAGAAGCATTCATGAATACTTTCCTGCCTAGAGGTTCTACAAGATCCTTGCGGCTAAAAATCGATCTCCCTCTTACCAGATCTTTTTTCAAAGCTGAAGCTTTGCGTGGACCCAGGCCAGAAATAAATTGTAATGTTGAAAAATGCCACTCATGGCTAGAAGCAAGATTAATATCGAAACCTATCTGATTTGTTGCATCAACCATTACTTGCTCAGCAACTTCATACTTCTCATCAGGAGTGAGAAACTGTTCCAGCGCATGCAGTTTCCAAGAAAGTATCTCTTTTCCAGGTCCACATAGTGTAGCAATCATTGCCAATGGATTCTGAAGGTAACGTCCAAGTGCCACAGCCCTCTTCACAATGCCTGTATAATGATTGAGGTAACAGCTGTTTGTAAGTTGCTGAACAGAAGTAACAGTAGATCACCATGTTGCTACTATAACTACTATACCTGAGTGGCCAGGAAGTTGATCCGAAGATATTCGAGAGTTCTCATACAAGCGAGGCACAGACTCATCACCATAGAGAATGCTAAGATTTTTCATGTGAGGGATAACATCTCTGGGATTATCTTCTATGATTCCCGTGTAAATAACCTGTCACAAGGATAAATGCCAATTTAATGTTAGCAATGAGAGCATTATAAAGCTTAAAAATGAACTTCCACCTAGTACTGTTGCAGGACAGTCCAAACCGACAGAATAACTGAAAATTTAACCCACTAGCTATTATATACACACAAGCACTGGAAATACGTTCACCCAGCAGTTGAACCTGATATGCTTCATAAAACCTAATGGGTTGCCTTGATGCATCTAAGGAACAAGATTGTGACATCCTACAAGGTGAAATCAGGAGAGTAACAAAACCATAATCAGCGGCGGATCCAGGAAATATTTTAGGGGGGGCTGAACAACACTGCTACTCGATCTTAAGTCTCAGCCCCTCTACACTATAGAACTTTGCCTAAAAATTCATATGGACTCTACAGTAATTTGCACTGATTCGGTATGGGTAGGGGGGGCTTGAGCCCCCCTCCCCCCCCCACTGCTGGATCCGCCCCTGACCATAATAATAAAAAAAAACTGTGCGCAGCAAAGACAATAGCTGATAGCCTGATACTATGTTCTGCAACAGCACGGTGAACTCGGAAGATAACACAACTATAAAACCAGATGCTATAAATCCTCTGCAAATGCTGACAATACCACCCTGTTCATAAAAGTGGCCGGATTGTACAACAGCATGGTAATATGAAACTCATTAGTCTGGGGCCAACAGCCAACTTAAAGACCTTTGTGCAGGTGCCACTATATAAGTCTGGAAGAAACATATTACATGTTCTAATGTGACTAGAAATGAATTTGTATATATACCCACAAATAAGACAGAATAATACCTCATAAATATCATCCTTGAGTTGTCTGCATTTGTAGTTTGATGCTCCTACACACACAACATGTGGTTGATGATCAGTCATAAACTTTAAAAGTTGTCGTCGTTGCTGACCATTCTTCTTCTGCTGCTCCTCGGTGACACCTTGAGACCTGTTACTGATAGAACCCACGTGTATAACATCAACCAATTCTCCTGATGAATCTAACATTACAAAGGTGATTGATGGCTTCCCAGGACCCGAGCAGCAGGCCATAACTCTCAACTCTGATTCGCCATCCAAATCAATCTCAGCATCCTCCTCCTTCTTCCAAGGAGCAACAGTTACCTTGTTCCACAACTGTTTCCCATATTCCATATGGAGCCAATGTTTAGCTTTTGCTGTCAACAGTGATCGAGCCTCCTTTTCCATTGATGGAAGAAGGAAACTGAAGAAGGCATCATCTAGTATCATCTTTCGTTGCTCATACCACAACTGTGCAGACTTGCTGACACAGTCACTTAGATAATTCTCACGTGCATCAGACATCAGTTCATTCTTAGCATCTTCTAGCAATTTTACAGTAACCTTGAGAAGCTTATCTTGTTCTGCTTTCTGAATAAGAAGCCACTGTGCATCTACAAACTTATCAAGTGGTTTTTCTCTCAACCACTTAACACCCGATAGTTGATGATATGGATCTATGATCTTATTGCCCTCAGGTGTGGGACATGTTGACACAACTGCTTTATTCATGAAGATGCCTCGAATATGCTTTCTTACAATTGGCTCACGACTTATCTCAACTGCTGCCTGATAACAAAGAAGAAACAAGGGGACATGGAATGTTGTTGTCAGCTCAAATCAATCAACTAAAGTTTTGTGCCCTACAAAAAACGGTCAATATTTTGAGGTCTATTAAATACCATGTGTCTCGCACCGCGAAGAACATCTTGTGGCCTTTCAAACATTGCACATGTGAAATTTGCAGCAACCACTTCAGGAGAATCTTTCCTGCTATCAAGCTCACCAACATCCTGAAGAATCATATTACACGTAAAGTGTCAAACTTGGAATGATTTTTTGTATAAAAGAATTTTCTAGGGCATTAAAATATATGCAAACAATGGGTAGGTTGCACAGGCAGAATTCTTACGTCAAAAAAACAGGAAGTATTGTTCTAAAAATAAGTGTCAACATAGATCACATACAGGTATTTTTGTTAATGTTAGATGGTGACCAAATTGCTCAGAACTGTGCCCAAATTGCTTGGCAACCTCCCATAACCCTGCGTTGTGACAGATCCTGTACAAGGATTTCCTTTTTGGACGTTTGAATTGTCCTTCAACTTCACCAGGAGGAAAATGTAAATTGAACTTTGCATCAACATCCTCCAACTCTTTCTCAGATTTAGCATCCTTTAGCGCATCAATGATAGAATTATAAAGTTGCCTGTTAAGTTCCTGCCTTGTGACATCTTCTATCCTCTGTTTCTCGTCATCAAATCGTTTCTCATAGTACAACTCTAAAGCAACCTTGCGCTTCTGAAGAAGTAGCCACTTTCTGTCTAAGGTCTGAACTGCCCAGAGCAGCTGTTAGAACACAAGATTTGCGTCAGTAATTGCAAATAGTTGGTCAGTTCAGGGAGAGGAACCAATTTGTCATGAAGAATACTTACCTTATGCCACCTCATTTTGGGCACATCATATTCATTACTCTGATAAGAATCAAGATTTTTTAGCAGGCTTGAACATTTCTCCTTTCTGTACATTGCAATGAATGGAATCTGACAGGTAACAAAGACTAAGTCAGACGAGCAAGCATTTGCAATTACTGGGAATTCTGGAGGAATTTGGATGGTTTGGAGGAATGCTAGAGGAATTTATGAGAGAAAAACACTGTTTCGGATGAAAAAAGAAGCGGATCAAGCCGGATTTAAGGGCATGCGAACGGGGCCATAATAAATTGTGAAGCAGATTTGCACAAAATTTGCATACTTCAAATTTTTTGACATGCAGCATGGTCAAAACGTTAGCAATGTCCTTCTGGTCAATATCCTTGTTCAATTCATCACCGAAAAAGAACAGAAACCCATCGCCAGTTAGTTGGCTGTGTATCCATAAACTTTCTTCCTCTATCATCGTGTTATCCGTCGGAGGATCGCCAGTCAACTCATAAGACAACTGTCATAAACAAAAAGAAACTAATCATATGGTCTTAAACTAAATCAATATTTAGTGAAAATCAAGTTAGCTGGTACATACCTGCACCCTCTCAGGCAATTCATTTTCTTTTATTTGACCATCTTTTGTTGTCATATACTTCTCTTCAAGAATAAATGGCTCAAACTCGTCTTCAAGCCTCTTCCCTCTCAACTCACCTGAGTTAGAAGCCTCCCTCTCAAGCCCTTGCTTTCTTCGTGCTAACAACTCATCAACCTCACCAAATATGTCTTGGGCCTCTTGTAGAGCAGATGATGATACACCTGCTGCTTGTCGTGGTACCTTCTTTTTAAACTTCATCCTTCTACAAGTATATGCCATTGTACATATTACTTGGAGTGAACACAGTAATATGTAATTTTGCAAAGTGCCAAAGACATGGAACTGGTTGGTGAATGATAGAAACACAACGAATCGCACCTTACAACTTGGCCATTCCCATCAATTTCATCATCATCCACAATGAAACCTCCCAAATCATCTTCGTAATTACCAAGCTCCTCAGTTTCCTCTGCCTGCTGGTCATCCTCATAGTCCTCAAAAGGCACAGCATCTGAGGAAATAGAATTGGAATTGATTGAAAAATAGTTTCAACCACGTCCAGGAATAACAGGAATAAAAAAAAAGACGCTAGGGAATCTTCTGGTCCAGCTATCTCGATGGTCACCAAATAAACGCATGCACGCTCGGCTGTTCCCCTCTTGAGCTGCCGCACGTGGCACACGCGTAAGTCGCCCGACGCCTATTGTAGGCTAGGGCCTTGCAATCGCAGTTTTGCTTAGTCTCTTGCAAGCCAACGCACAGCAACAAGCATTCGCTTTTATTTTTTTTCTTGATTTTCTCAAACCAGCATCAAATCATCTGTCTTCTTATTTATTTTGCTTTTCCCAAATCAGTATTCGTCTCTGTCTTTTGCTGTATGAATAACTTCAACAGGAAGAAAAAAAATTTAAGTTAGTTCACGAGCCAAACGAGTCAACTCGAGCTGCCAAGCGAGCCGAGCTGAGCTGAGCTTCTAAGTCGTTAGTATAACGAGCCGACCTAAACCAGCTTGATAATGAACCAAGCCCGAACAAGACGAGCTATAACGAGCTGGCTCGATATCGAGACCTACCTGCAGCCGTCCGTGTTCACCGTGGAAGGTACTACTAGTAGTAGCCACTACTTCTTGTTTGACCTCTCCTTGTCCGTTTTCTTTGATTCTGATCACACTTTTTCACTCATCAGGCCCTGCCCGGCACTTCTTTAATTCATGGAAAAAGAAACTTTGCTTCAGGCCCTTCTACCGCTGAAAACGTTCTGAAGGTATACTGTTGCACTCACGCTTCTTTCTGTAATAACAGCATTAATTGAACACTTCTCAATTGACTACCAAACGTACAGGAGGAACCGATAAAAACACTAGTCAGAAGATTTGTAGCACATGTTGTTACAGACCATTCTAACGTCCTTGCATTGTTGGATTTTGTGTGATTAATTGATTATATAGTAACGTGGATACAGTTTTAATCAGATTCCTAAATAACAGCAGCCATGTTATCAATCTTACTGTCGGTGCGAAAAGTGAACAACAAGTAAATATTTATAGTTTTATCGTGTGTTGTGATCGGATGTAGCCTAGCACACAATAACACATGATTTATACTGGTTCAGGCAACGTGCCCTACGTCCAATTTCAGTTGATCGGTGACTTTATTCCTGAGCCCAGATGCTCGAAGTTTGTTGTGGGGTTACAAACGAGTAAGAATGAGAAGAGGGTGTTAAAGGCCCGGTCGGACTCTGAACCGAATGGCAGAGAGTGACGGGTGCTCTAACGTGCGCTAAGTATTGGAGCGTATGCTCTGTGTAGTTGTCGATTTCTAGAGCTATTGAGCTGTTCAAGTCCTTAGGTCATCGAGTCCTCGAGTCGTCTAGCCTTTTCTTTTTTCGAGAGAGGCTTTTAGGAGAGAGCTCATCCTTTTTATAGTTGAAGGGGATGGCCTTACAGGTCAGAGAGAGAGTGTGTATACGTGTGCTACCTAGTCTTGTTGCCCACAGTGTCGGGTACGAGACGGTTATCGGCGCCCACAATATTGTTTATGTTCAGACGCATCTGGCAGGCTCTACCGTATTCGCCTGGTACAGCAAACGTCGGCGCCTACAATATTGTTTGTGCTCTGACGCGTCTGGAAGGTTGTATAGTGCTCGTCTGGCATGGCCTGGTGGCATCGTCCTGCAGGTGTGCAGGGCATGGCAAGGTATGGTCCTCGGTATTGTGGTTGACTTGAGCGTCTTACCTTATTTGCTCCACCTGATCCCGGCCCCTCATCGAGCGGGCATCCCCGGTCAGTCGTTCCCAATCAGTCCCGACCGTATCGGTCGGGAAAGAGCAGCGAGCAAAGGTCTGGCGTATCCTTGATCGGAGAAGGAGGTCGGAGCCAGACTGTGGTCCCACCTTAGCCAGGCCTTCCGGTCGGGGACCGGATCGTTGTCCCATCCTGTCATTATGTATCTGGGCCGGTCTAGGCGCGCGTTGTCGCTGCGCCGCTTGCTGAGCCGGGTTTTGCAGGAAAACGGGTCCATTAGAGACCCCGGGTTTATGAACCCGACACTTACGTTCTTATTGAAAAGGTTCATCTAAAGAAAACATACTAAAAAGATCTCCTAAGCAAATATTTTTACAAAAGAGATCTCTCGCCGATAAGTTAAACTTTTGATAGCAACAATGATATAACTTGTTTTAATGATTGATTGGCAACTATTAGCATGCCTCTTTACTTTCAAGACAAGAGAACCTCAGCTCCTAGCTTGATGCATGCTGAGATGATCCAACTAATAAGGCATAAATACTAGTAGAACATTTAAGCCATATCCTCATTCAAAAACAATTTTTGAATATGGATTACGTTTGTTTCTTTATTTTTGAAGGACGATTCAAAAACTATTGTCGAATCTGGCTCCTGCTCTGAAATAAATAAAGAAGAATTACCTTTTTCATCTTGTTCGGTTGAAATATCCCAATAAATCTTGCATTGAGAAGGAAGAGTCTGGGTTGGTGTGTTTGCTGCAGATGAATTGAATTCATTCAAAAGGTGCTCCAGTGCACCAGGAAATGATAAGTGTCCAAAGGTGGAAGCAGTAGAACGATGTGAATGCGATTATTGCTCAAGGTAAATTTGTGCTCTGTACTAAAATATCGTCTTCCATTCAACAAATCTGTTTTTTTCCTTCTATCTAGATTCTGAGTGTCTTATTCTTTCATTCACTCTTCACAGTCAACGCGACATTGGGAAGTTCCTTGAGCGCCTCTACACCTTCGGAACTTGGATGTATTGCATGGATTGTACATGAAATCATCCAACTACGACGCAAGTTTAAGGCCTTGGATTCGGATGACCATTAAACGTGCAAGATCCAATGGCCTCTTCCTCCACAGCTTACTATATCATGGTTTGTAGACAGGGGAAGTTTGCTTATATACAGTGGTATACCATCATGGTTCCTCTACATGTCATTGAAATTGGGAAACCCATTTCCATGTAAAGTTTTGTCTCTACCTTTTGGTCAAGAGAGACCAGGCATTTTACCTCTAGGAGGAATTGGATTCATTGTTTCTTGAATCTTAAAACAACATTTTATTTTGAATTTTGACCCCCATATCCCGTCGCATCCGCGGTGTGGCGGACCACCCAAACAAGCAAAGAGTTTACAAAATCATGGCGGAGATCAAAGCAAATTTGTGTCAGGTCCCATCTTCAAGAGATTGATAATATGAATTCGTATGGATAAGTTGGTCTCCGCTGACTGTACTGCAATACGCCTATCATTGAGGTTAGATTAGATTAGATGTATATATATTATTATATACTTTTGTACCAAAAATATGAGAGCACAACAAAAACAATTTGGCATTTACATATAAATCTACTATTTGTCGACCGACAAAACTATTTCACCTATAAAACTAATTGCAACAAAAAATAAAAGAATTGTTCATCGTTCGACATATTTATACATATTTTTTATACACCCTTTCGTCTAGTCATAGCTAGGTGCCTAGGTTAGGGTTACCTCTACCAAATGCTAGGGCTAGCCTCAGCCGGCTGGGTGTTATCCGACATGAGAGTTACGAGTTGGAGTTGGAGAGGAGTTTTAGAAACTTTTTTTTTTAATAAGGAATTGTTGTTTGAGAAAAAATAAAGGAATTGTTCTACCAAGATGTTGGATGGGTATTTTTTTTCTTTTTTCTTGTAAAAAAGTTAAATTGGGAGTTCATTTAGAGCATCTCCAATAGTTCTCAATTTTTTTTTGATAAATCAATGAGTTTTTCAAGTGCCTAAAAAAGAGTTAGGCACATATTTGTTGGTTCCTCCAACGGTTTTCAAAATCTGAATTCTAAAATATAGAATATAATTTTGCATCAAAAATTCCAGACTATTTATAAATTATCCTAACTATTTTTATACCTTTTTTTTATACATTTGCATTAGGAACCCTTGTCTTACTCTTTATTCTTCTCTACGTTTTTTCATCTTCGGATTGGTCCATGAATACGCGCGTATATATCGGCTAAATTAGGTCGATTTTTTCCAAGTGCGGAAAGATTGAGAGTTGAGATAGGGAGTTGTTGAGAGCAGTTTTTAAATCTTGCCAAAAAATCAAGATTGAGAATGGGTTTTGGAAACTCTTGGAGATGCTCCTACAAAGCTCATGGAGTTGCTCGCTAAACGAAAAAAATGAGTCAAACCATTTTAAACTAGATTTTATTATAAGATATATTTTCATTGTATATGTATTTTGTATCACTATATACTCAAAATGGTATATGAGGGAGTGTATATCTGTATTTTTTTTATAAATTTGTTCAAACTATGGAATATCTGATTGACTTAGAAATTAGGATAGAAATAAAACGGTACTTCTTCATGTTAAATTATAAAATATTTTGACTTCTGTGGAAAAAAAAAGTAGGCAATCATAATTCGACATAGTCGGCACATCTGATTTCTTGATACTACACCCGGGCTGATCGACTGATCGATCCTCGGAAGAATAGGACACGTAGGATCCGGTCCACTCCCACTTTATCCCATCCGGCCATCGTGCCACGAGCTGGCACGGCAGCGTCAACGCTTGACGGTTGACGCGTTCGCCAGCCACCTCGCGTGGGTTCGAGCCAAACTCCACGGCCGCACCACCCCCTCGAGTCGATGTTGAACTCGCTCAGGTATTGAAAGCTCTGTTCCTGTTTCCACACAGTGAGGCCACGTCGTAGGGTTTTGCTTGCTTCGCCCGGCCGTAAAGCGGAGCGCGGCCACCGCCGCGCGCCCGGCCATGGAGATCGGGCAGTACCCCGCGAGCAGCTGCTCCAAGGAGCACCAGAAGATCTACCAGGAGTGGTTCGCGCTCGCGGACGCAGGTCCGATTCCCCCCTGCTCTGCTCTGTTCCCCCTCGATCCCCAATCCCCTTCCCACTGTTGTTCGCCTGGATGTGGTCTTCTAATCGACGGTGTTGCAGACGGGGATGGCCGCATCACCGGTCCCGACGCGATCAAGTTTTTCGGCATGTCCAAGCTCTCCCGCCCCGACCTCAAGCAGGTGCTGGCTCTCGCTGCTAATCCCTTCCTGTTTTGTTCTGCTTGCGGAGCTATTGGTTTTTATATATGTGCCATTTTTGTCCAACCGTGCTGCGATTCAAGAT